TTGTATCAAACACTATATTGCAAAAACAAGCTATCTGGAGCTTTAGGGGCATTTAAATGACAGAATTAGATTATCTAGTTCACATTACGGAAAGATGTCAGGAGAAGGATTCCACTTTTTAAAAAAAATCGCAAAAATATGAGTCAATTCTCAGGAAAATGATTTGTTTTTGACTGTTCTTTTGCCAACAGTACCTTCCTCAGTTTAAAGTTAAATGTGGATGCTGCTGGCTGGAGTCATTCACAAAGACACCACTATCCACGTAAAGTTCTTGAGCTTTCCTTATACTTGATCTTGTGTTATTATTGTTCTTGCTTCTGACAGTTTGAAATAATTTGAGAAGTTTTTTAATTGATAGGGAGCTACGAAGGGTTATGAACACATTACTACTCCTTATATATTGATAAATATTGCACTCACTGGCTTTATCTTCAGCATTTGCAGTATTTTGTTTTCTATGGTGATACATAACACATTTCTACAGCTTAACTCAATAATCAATTCTTCTAAGATATACATGTGACCCCCTACTTCCCAGGACAGCAGACAAAATTCTCCTCTTCCCTTCCTGTATCCACAGTAACACTTTACAGTTTTGTTTTTAAACATCCTGCAATTGAGAAAAATGAGGCTCTATCACTGACTTCTAGCGGCTATAAGAATTGTGACCATCATACATGATAACAAGCTTACTTTAAGATCTGGACCTGTTGTTACAGATGGTTAGAGCTTGCTTGGTAACCCATGTGGTAGGCTGGAAGTTAATACTGGCTGGCTATCTTCACCCAGAGAATTTCTATTCCATACACACCAATTTCACCCCAACCCTTGCCAACCATCTCAGAAATCCAGGCATTTGGTCACAAGGAGGTTGGAAAACTAGTACAAATGGCTCAGCATAAATCCATCACCATGGCTATAAAAAAAAAAAAAGCGAACATAAAAAGATGCCCAATTAACTGGGTACTAGATTCATAGTATCTTAGCATCTATATGTAGGTGATAGAATATATTACAGTTACTAAAATCAAGTCTATATGATTTTTATAAATAAAAATATATACATATAATCTATAGGAACAAAAAATTTTGGCCTTGAACCAAATTGGTTCATATGGAAATCAGCAGCGGTGTCCTAATATTAGAATTCAGATTTGTCTAACAAAACTTCTCATTAAAGTTTTATTTGAAAGCCATTAGTTTTAGAAAGGGTTATTTTCCAAATAAAATGTTTAATTAGTGCATCATTTAGAAAACCAAAATGGTCACTCATGGCCCCTATCTGTCCCAAGTTTAGAGAAAAATTAGAATAAGGAATGCCTCATTGAAAAATATCAACTATTAAAAGTTATATACAGCAATAAAGGGTATTTTCCCTTAATTACTAAAAATCTTTTGAGCCTAAACCTCTTTAATAGAAATTCTTCTCTGATCTAAAGGCCTTGAAAAAGGGCATGTCAGAAAATGAGTATTTTAAATGGGAGATAAAGTAGAGACAGGGTTTTCCATGGAAAATGAGGATTTCACTGAAAGAGGTCAGGTCATCTAGTTTTAGATAGGAAAGCCTTCCTAGGCAGATTTTTAGGGATCTTGAAAGAAACTGATGAGAATCAGATAAGCATTAGTGAATTATTTGGGCTCCATAGTTATGATCCAGTCATGAAAACCGTTTGTTTTACCATTTGGTTGAGTGATGTATGGTATAAAAATGATACCAGATAATAAATACAAGTAAACTATTTATAATGTGGAACATCATGCAAGTTTAAACTCTAAAGTATAGCTTTTTGCACATATTTAATGTAAAATAGTTTTTGAAATTATAAATCAATACACACTACTCATTGTGGAAAAAATAAAAATGTAATATACACAGATGTAACTAATATTGACACCTTGGAGAATCAGAGGTTACAGGCTAAAGATACAGGGTATCAAATGCAATATTTATCAATATGTAAGGAACATTAATGTGTTCATAACCCTTCCTAGTTCCCTATCATTTAAAAACCTCTAATACATCAGCTGTTTATTCCTATGTTTGCCTATGTATTTTGTAATGGAATCAAGCAGAATATACTGTGATAGGCTGTTGACCTAATCTGTCATGAATATGTTTCTATGGTATTGAGTAGATGTCTAGAATATTCTTTTTTTTTTTTTTTTGATGTCTAGAATACTCTTCTTAATGCTTCATTGTATTCTCCTGCCACTGTCACTGGACTTCTAAATTCTACCTATTTTTACTTTTAAAAAATAGCACAATATGAGGAAGAGTCTTGCACACAAATTTTTATTACTATCCATAATGATTTCCTTAGGATGAATCTCTGGAAGAAAAATTTCCCAGTCAACAGATGTCTAGCAAGCTTTTTGCTATCAGAATCAAATAGCCTTGCACAAAGCCTAACGGGGGCATCAGCCACATATAATAAGCAGGCCCCATTCTCAAAAACATACATACTCAAAACACTCAAAACACTCTTAAAAACTTGACCAACTTGATGTGGGGAAATGAATCGCACTGTAATTTTTATTTGCATTTGTTTGAAGTAGAACATAAAAGTTCTTTTAAATGGCCCCAAGAATACTTTGGGTTAATGGACTAATAATTTATTGGAAAGAGATAACACCTACTGCCTCTAGGTCTTCAATCTTAATGTCAGTTTAACTTTCTCCACGTGCTGCCAAAACACTTTTATATTAAGTTTAAAATTTTGTTAATCAGCTGTGTGTTTTAGCTTGTGTTGAAATCCTAAATGTTTGATATTATTTGGATGAAATAACTGGATAATGGAATGAACTTTTCATTTTCCATGTAGTTGTTTTGATGTGGTTTGGCTTTAGCCAGAGATGCCTTTCAAAATACTTAATTGGAAAAAAAAAAATACTTAATTGGCATTGAAGTGATTATTTTTCTCATTTTCAAAATTTCCATGCATTTCAAAAATTATGCTGCTGGAGTCACATAACTTTATTGGGTAAAATAAATAAAATTTAAATAATACTTTTAAATGTCCTCCTATTTGGCAATATTGTGTAGATCCTGCCCGCCTCACTTACCCTCCCAGCTAATTAAAACAGACCCCAGAGTTCATGTAGTTACCTGTGGTAACCTAACCAGAGCAGACTGAACGTAAAAAGCAAGATAACTGAGGTGTTAACATTGCCCTGAGTATTGAGATAATCCACAGAGGCAATCAAACACCTAAACAAGAGAGAAAAAGATGCTAGAAGCTTCATCTCCAAGCCAGTTCCAATATCTTCTCTAATCCGTTACAAGGGACATTCCTGAGATTGATTCGTGATTCATTTTATACTCAACAATATTTCAGTGCTTACAAACACGTACTATGCTATAAAGCGACAGGGGAGATGACATGGTATTTAAGGCTTTGCTTCAAATTCCATTCTCCAGAAGACAAATGCATATGAGAAATAAATAAATAAGAACTGTTGACATTTTCTGTTACCAAAACTTTTCAGTCAGGAAAGGGTGTAAGTTAAGCTATCGTCTAATGGTTCTCATAAATTCATAAAAGTGTAGGTAAAGAAAATATACTTTTCAAAACTACAGAATTAATATTGATTTCATCTGCCAAGTGATTAAACACAGATTCAGGTGAAAAGAAAGGAGATGGAAAAAGGCCATTCATGTTTTATTACCGATTTCGCACTATTCCAAAATCAATTGTCCATAAAGTAGGAAGAGGCAATTATAGGAAGAAAAGGAATAATCTTTAGAGCAATAGAAGCCTCAGTGAACTTATCTACCAAATGGGGGTATTAGAATAAATGGCTTTTCTGTTATGAACCTCAGTGGATCCAAAACATCTATTTCTTTTTTTACAACGTGGAAATGTTGATGGGTCTAGATTTGGTTTCTTTTAGAAAAAAAAAAAAAAAAAAGGAGAGAACAGACCTGAGGGGAAAAACACATTTAAAATGGTCATGGTCACACCCAAAATATAACAGATAATTAGAGGGACCCAAAGTGGCTTCTCAATTCAAAATAATTACTTTTTATAAAGTGTTTTCTGGATCACATTCTTTATGAAAATAGCCATTTAAGTAAATTTAGAATTAAAAAAGCCCCCAAAATGTGATTTTAATTATAATTACAATGATTTCCATAGTGGACACATTTTACCAACTCATGAGCAAAAGAAGTTATTACTATTTGTCCCCTAGAGTAAATTCTCCAACTGCACAAAAGAAATTAAATTCACATAATATTTATCCTTGTTTTCTTTCCAAAATTAAAGGTCATTTATGCATTACTGGGACTGTACAAAAGGTAACATACAAAGGATGGTAATGTATTAAGAAATAAAAGAAATATTTCTTCATAAAAATATATTGCAGTTTTCTTTTTGCATACGAAAGTATTGTAAATGGTACTTAAAAAATCAATAGCCTGCAATATTTTACAAATGTTCTTACAGACACTTTTTGAGGCTGTGAACTTCAACCAGAAATATTTACATTGTTCCAGTGAATAACATTCAAAATTTTTTTTCAAATCACAATGTCAAAAATATTCACAGAGTTTAAAATTTGTCATAAAGTACAAATAATGTCAAAAGTGATTGGCACATAGTACAGCAAAGAGTCTTTTAGATATTATGTGTTTTTTGTTTTTTTCCATATGTTTTACATATTTTATTCTAGCATAGATATTATGTTAAATTTTAATGTCAATAATCATAGAAAGAAGTGACGTTGGTATTTGTGTCTAGCAGACTGAAGACATGGAGTCATATCAAAATAGCAAGCTTAGGAACACTGCTTACCTTTTTCCTTTGGGAATCTTTATGTGACACGTTTAAATAAGCGGAAGTTAATTCTTTATTTGCTTTGGAGATCACATGAGAAATCACTCTTAATGGTTGTAAAAATGTATCAGCCTACACACTACAGAGTATTATTTCTACCTGCCATCAGGCAGTGGAGATATTAAAAGGTAATTTTCTGCACCCTTGCTGATTATCAGTACTTACCTGCCCCGCAGCTTGCCAAGTAAAATTCATGGAATGGATATTGACAGGAATAGCTGGCATTCTCTGTTGTGCTTTTCTGAAATCATGTGTAAAAGGGGCCATTTTCCCTTCGGAAACAATCAAGATATCTTCTTCAAATCCTGGTTTAAAACAAAACAAAACAAAACAAAACAAAACAAAACAAAACAAAACCATCAAACGGGGCAGACTTAAAAGAATCCAAACCAGAAAACGCACGCAAAAAGAACACTAAAGAATTGGTATGGGCCACGTCTATACACAAAGCACCTGTCTAGGAACCCACTAATTTTCCTCGGTATGTGATAAGAACAGTGCCAACAGACACATGGTTTCAGGAAACGGAGTGGACATACAGTCACCGGGTGCTACTAAACGCGGGGTCCACCCCCAAAACACAGGGTTGTAGAAACTAGCAACAGCATGATCAGAACAACTACATCAGCTTAGGTCTCTGGAGACAGAAGTTCCTACGCTTTCAGGTGGAAAAGAGCTGATTAAAAGGTGGAGGGGAGCAACCTTCCTTGAAAATTAAGTTTTAAAAACACACTTAAATGCATGCATCTCCCCTTTAACAGAAGCGCTGGAGAGAGCGGAGACGCAGGTAGCGAAGGCAGCGGGCGCGGGAGCCTTACCTATGAGTACTCTCGCCTGGCGAGCATCGATCCACAGGTACAGGCTCTCCTCCCGCGGCTGCCCGACCTCCGCCCGCAGCACCAGCAGGTACGGGAGGATGCTCCACAGCCGGAGCGCGGCGGCGGGGAAGGCGCTTCTCCGGGCCATGCTCCTCCGAACCTCCCTCCCGGTGGCTCTCGCCGCTCAACCTCCTTCTGCCTCACCTACCCAGCCTGCGGCCGCGAAGTCCTCCCTCAGCCGAAGCTGCGCCCGCTTAGACCGCCGGGCGTGCAGCCCCCTGACTCCGGTGCGAGAGAGCCCGCGAGAGCCTGCAGGGAGGAGGGAGGGGAGAGCGGGCGCCGGCGGGGAGGTGAAGGGGGCGCGGGAGGGAGCGGGGACGGCGGAGACGCAAGACTGGCAAAGCAGGGGATGCCAGCACGCACGGCGACGCCAACAGCCCCAGGGTTAAATACAGCCCGAGAGGGAAGAACGGGAAGGGAGGGCGCGAGTGAGGTGCGTGCGAGGAGTGGCGCGGCTCAGTCGGCCGCCGCTGGGGGGCGCTGGGGGAAGCGCGCGCGCTGGCGGCGCGAGACCCTCGGAGGCCGCGTCCACGCCGCGGGGCGCGGGTGCGAGCGCGCGCGGAGGGGGCGCGTGGTGTAGGCGGTTGCCAAGCCCGGCGTGGGGAGGGGCCCCTGGGCCATCTCTCGCCTCTGCCTCCTACTTGGCGAGGCGTGGCCTGGGGGGAACCCCGAGAACTGACACGCATGGCTTGAGTGAGCGCTGAGGACAGTAATGATAATGCTGATGACGACGACGACAACGACTTCCATCCCCATGCCCGTGCCGAGGCAAGGCGCGTATTCCTTCACTTCTCCCTTTCCGCGCCTCTCGTTTCTCTCTGAGCAGCTCAACGCTGATACTTGGCGCATTCCCATCAGTGTAAAACCCGACCTGCGGTCCTGGGGTGCCCTTGATGGCAGGCGCTGGGCTTGGCTCGGCGCGCAGGGCTTCCATTCCGCACAGACCCCGAAGAGGGTGCTTTCACGGCTCGGGGAGTCTCTTCTCCCTGCTCACCCGGCGGCGCCAGGAAGGGTTCCCCTGGACGCTGGATGACAGGCGTACCTGACGCTGTCGGGGGTAGGACGCTTTAATATTTGCTGAGGTTTCCAGAAACTTGGAGGCACGCGAGGTGGTACTGAAATCACAGGCGTTTGGGGGCAGGACCAAGGTTCTGGCCTTGTCTATGGGAAGAGTAGTTGGCTGGCAGTGGGCTGTAGTCTAACAGAGCCATGCGACCTCAGCAAAAGGGACTTAACTTGCCCCCTGCTTAATCCCTTGGCTATGCAAAGAAAATGGAAGCAAAAGGTAAAAAAACAAAAACAAAAGCAATACTTAGAAAGATTTCAGACTCAGAAAAAGGTTGTTTACTTCTCTTTGTTCTTTAGCACCCAGATGCTGCAACAAATGTCCAAGGATCAAGTGTCCAGGGTGTGGTGTTTCACTCAGTCCTTTGTAGAGTGGTGGACACCTCAAGAGGGGAAAACAAACAGAAACAGAAGAAAAGCCGAATTTGTGCATGCATTAAGTTAAGTAACTGTTAGGTCATGAGCAGTTACTAAAAAGAAAAGAATATGTATTTCCTGTTATGAAGTATTTTCAACTTTACAACTGTTGATCTTTACAAGTAATTAGACAAGATGTCTAATTATGACTGATTTGAACTTGCAGCGTCAAACTTTATAAGTACTTTAAAGTGCTTTCTAGGGGCGCCTGGGTGGCTCAATGGGTTAAGCCTCTGCCTTCGGCTCAGGTCATGATCTCAGGGTCCTGGGATGGAGCCCTGCATGGGTCTCTCTGCTCAGCGGGGAGCCTGCTTCCCCCCTCTCTCTGCCTACTTGTGATCTCTCTCTCTCTGTGTCTAAAAAATAAAATAAAATAAAAATTAAAGTGCCTTTTTAATCCTCAACTCTTTTAAATAGGTACTGTTATTATTTCCATTTTACTGTTGGGAAGCACGGTTCCCAAAAGCCCAGCAAGTTGCTTGTGTTACCCAGCTGGTAAGGGGGCAGAATCAGGGTTCAAACCCAAGCACCCTGATTTAAGAGTCCATTCTTTTAGTCACTACACTTCATACTGATAAGTAAATCATAATTAGGTCCCAAGCCTCACAGAGATTCTTTCTTTAAAATAAATATATTTACCTCTTTTCAAACATTTTATTAATTTTGAATTCATTTCAGTAACTATTCCTTTATATAGTGTATTCACATACATTAGGCAACCTTTAGAGCCCTTCGACATTTCAATGCCAATTGTCTCCCAATTAAAGATAATTTCAAAACACAATAGACATTTCCTTTGATTCCCGAAAGTGTGGTCTTAATTGAAACTTTTTTCTCTTAGCCTCGCTCAAACCCCTATGGCTCTTGGTGCAAGGACGCCCTCTACAGGTTGTTATAATCAAATACTAAGTAGGAAATACTCATAAAATGCACTTTTTGGTAGAGAAAAAGAGGGGCTAAATTCTCTCCTCATTCAACTTCCTCTGGGTAAGGTCCCCTCTATTCACTTCTCCTTAGCGGTGGACACTTACAAAAAGTTAGATTAATTGTAGTTAGAAAACCATACTATTTTTAAAAATCTTGAACTCCTTGGGTTTTAAAGGGAAGGAAAGAACATATGGTATATGCCAGTCATACTATTTCCAAGAGTAACAGGGTGTATCTTTTTTGGGAGGGAAGGGCTACTGAAGACCTAAGTCAGGCTTGACTCTCTGTTGTTAAGGAGCAAAATGGCTTTTTCATTTAGAATGCGGTCATGTTTCCAGTTTCTGTATTAAAGGTAAGAATATGTATTTGCAAATGATAAAAATTTGGAAATAATGTGCCAGGTGGTATTACAAATCAACCTCATTCAGTATGAAAATTCTACCATTTATTGGCGGCTCAGTGGGTAGAATTTACAGTTGAGAGACCTCATATTACCTCATCCAGGTGATCAAGGTCAACATCAACCAGGATAGGTCATATTGATAATATGTGTACCCTTGGTATGTTTTGAGAATGGCACTTTATCTCTGTGGCCTTATCCTGAAAACCCATAACTTTTGTTTAATAGAGAGAAAAATATCAGAAAAACCAAGGATATTTTGAAAAATACCTAAACGATAATGCTCGAAACTGTCAAGGTCATCAAAAACAAGGAAAATCTGTGAAATTGCTCCAGTCAAAAGGAGACTAAGGACACATGAAAACTAAATGTAATGTGAAATCCCAGATGGGATCCTGGAACAGAAAAAGGATATCAGATAAAATTAAAGAAATCTGAATAAATTAATATTAATGTATCAATATTGGCTCCTTAATTGTAACAATTTACTGTACTAGTATTACGGGAACATGAGTATGAGGGTAGACAAGAGCTCTCTAAACTATCTTTGCCATTTTTCTGTAAATCTAAAACTATTCTAAAATATAGTTTATTTTGAAAAGAAAAGGTGAAGACCTAAGTACATCCCAAAAGATTTGGCTAGCTGACATTGAAAATCAGAAGATTTCTCATAAAATTTGGATTTCTAGCTTCTCCAGACTCTTCCAGGCTTCTCATGACTTCTTCAAGGAAAATTTAGAGATCTGGCAATATTCCTCCCTTACAAGGGGACGTGTGTGAGTGGTGGTGTGAGTCGTGGCTGCCGTTCAAACGGGCCTCTGCTCTGACAGTTCTAACACTCTTCTGTTGAACCTGTTTCACTCATTTACTTGACTTGCTGGGCTTCTGTAGGGTTCTGAGTTCGCTACTCTTGGACTAGAGGAGAGGCCATGGGATGGAGGGGGAAGGTGCCTGAGGGGGCTGAAATCAGCACTCATCCTAGAAGTGCTGTTGTGTGGGAAAGCCTGCAATAGAGAAGGATCTTGTCAGTACCCAGCCACCCACTTGCCAGGCAAGTAGACTTTGGGCTGCCCACTCTGCCCCGTTGCCTCAACCAGAGCTCCAGGTGTTGGCCCTGAGACTGGGGCATATCAGCTGCATCCTGAGCTGTGTTTGGAGGAGGGGAGCAGGCACACCTGTAGCACCCTGATATGGAAAGGGAACTACAGATAGTAAGTGAATAGAACAAGCGGCCAAGCATTATTTTTATTAGCAGTTCTGTTTAAAAAAAAAAAAAAGTTTATATGTATGTATGTATACCTTTGTATGTCTTTAATATGATGCACAGAAAATGTCTAAAAGTTTACATACTAAAATACTTCCAGGGGTTGTTGATAGGGATTGGAAGTGGGTCTGGGGCATGATTTTTCACTTGATGCACACATTTCCTGATTTAAAAAAAAATGAGCAAATGCTCTTGTGATTAAAAACATTTTTAAGCAGGGAGAAAGGTCTTTTCTTCCCTGCTTCAGTCAGTTTCTCCTAAAGTAGGCAGCTGTCACCACCCTGGGCCAACACTTCTTGCTACGCTGCTTGCATACTTTGTCACTTCAGAACTGTACATCACAACACATGACAGCTCATTACTGAGGCACAGCACAGCCTGAGCATTCCTCATAGTTCCATGCAACACTCTTGCTCTTCTTCCCTCACATAAAGGCATTGCTAAGCAACCCAGCATATCTTGTCTTCCACAAACCATATCCATTATTTCCTGTTCATACAGGCTCTTTCACCTCTGTGGCATTTAACAGCTATTATTTTGTTTGTGATCGGGGAAAAGAGGAAAACAATTTTATTGCCCAATATTAGAGGAATGAGAAACCAATTAGAACACTTTTATAGCATGAAATATTATTGAAGCATTAAAATTGATGTTGTGACATAGATGTTCAATCATGAAACTGGCATCACAATCAAGATAACGTACATTATCCGTCACTCCAAAAGTTTAACCAAATCATACACTTTAAATATGTGCAGTTTATTATGTTAACTAAATTCCATTAAATCTGCTTAAAAAATTTTTAAAGAAATAAAAATAATTGGTGTTTCACCAGGATACAGAAGGCACCAACAATAAGAGAAAAAATTGATAAATTGAACCATATTAAAATTAAGAATTTCTTTTATCAAAAGATAGCACGGAGAGTGAAAAGACAAACCACAGTGTGGAGAAGATACTTGGATGTATAGGATTCTTATCCAGAATATATAAAGAATGTCTACAAATCCATAAGAAA